CAGTTTGATCGGGCAAATTGGGACCTATACTCACAACTAACTGTTTTTCGTGAGGTTCCTTCTTCGTCCTCCACTGATGAGCTTATACACCTCTTCTCGTCCTCAGTTTTAACCGCATCTTCTCATTCTATACCCCAAACCTCGGGCAGGCATTCTAAGAAATGCATGCCTTGGTGGTCTCCTGCTTGTGCTCGTGCAGTACTTTGAAACGCGCTGCATGGGGCAGGTACCGGTATAATAGAACCAACTGAGAGACTTCTTGATATTAAGCAGAAGCGTGCGATCACTCGCCGTGTCATCCGTGACGCTAAACACACTTGCTGGCGAGATTATGTCTCCACCATCACGTCTGCTTCCTCTATGAGTACAGTCTGGAAAAGGAACACGGAAACTGAGTAGTAAATATTCTCCTGACCCGGCTCCTGTCTGCAGGTTGCCGGTGTTGATATAGCAAACCCACTAGATGTTGCCATTGAAATTGGCAATCATCTGGTCCGTATTTCTCTGGGGCTCCATCTCTGCCCCTCGTTTCTTTCCTCAAAGTCTGCCAGAGAATTAGCACCCGTGGACTTTTCTTCTCTCAGAGAAGAACAGTATAATGTGCCTTTTACACTTCAGGAACTGGAGGCAACACTCTTAGCTTGCCGATCATCGACAGCTGGGCCCGACGACATTCATATTCGTATGTTGTAACATTTACATCAGTCAGCCCTTGCAGTCCTATTACGCCTTTTCAATTTTAATTGGTCACAAGGAGTCTTCCACAACTGTGGAAATCTGCCATTGTTCTCCCTTTCCGCAATCCGGGTACTACGGGACATGAAGCCTCCCACTTTCGTCCCATCGCTCTTACCAGTGCAGTTTGCAAAGTGATGGAACGTCTGGTAAACAGACGTTTAATGTGGTATTTAGAGACACACAACAGTCTCTCCACTTGTCAATATGGCTTTGTAAGGCCGTTCTACCATAGACCATTTACTACGTTTGGATACGTATGTTCGTAATGCCTTCGCAAATAACCACTCAGTTATTGCCATATTTTTTGACCTTGAGAAGGCATAATGACACAACTTGGAGGTATAATATTTTGGCCCAAGCCCACTCCTTAGGCCTCCGAGGCAATCTACCATCCTTCCTTAAGAACATTTTAACTGACAGGCATTTCCGTGTTCGTGTTAATAATGTGCTCTCCCCGGATTTTATCCAAGCTGAAGGTGTCCCTCAGGGATTTGTTCTTAGCACAACACTTTTTCTCCTTGCTATAAATGATTTGGCCTGTTCTTCCATCCAATATTTGGTCATCACTCTATGTAGATGACTTCGCTATTGCTTGTGCAGGCACTGACTGTCACCTCATTACAGTTTCTCTCCGACATGCGGTCCACCCTGTTTCCAATTGGGTCACCACGCATGGGTATAAATTTTCCAGTACCAAAACTCACCAAATTACTTTCACTAGACGCTCTGTCATCTCCAGTCATCCTTTGTACCTCTATGGCTCCCGTATCCCTGAATGTGATAGTCAGGTTTCTAGGCCTTCTCTTTGACCATAGGTTATCCTGGAAACCCCACATTGCCTCTATAAAGGCAACTTGTCACAGCCGGCTGAACTTCTAAACACTCTTGCTCATCTTTCATGGGGAGCTGATCGTCGAACTCTCCTTCCTTTAGCCCTCATTTTATCGAAACTCGATTATGGTGACCAGATCTATTCAGTGGCCTCTCCTGCTACTCTTTCTAGCCTTAACCAAGGATTACGTTTATGCCTTGGCGCTTTTCGCTCTTCCCCTGTTGTGAGCCTCTATGCAGAAGCGAATGTTCCATCCTTGTCTGTGTGCTCTCACTATCTCTGCAATCCTTCCATTTATAGAATGGTCACTGATGTAAGTAGACATTCTTTATTTGTTGACCGCCCCTGTTTGCTCCGTCCCTTCTGTCTTCGCCTACATTCGCTCTTGTCTTCCCTTCAGTTACCGCCCTTATATGTTCATGTAGCATCTCACTTTTCCCTACCCCCCTGGGAAGTTCCAGCTGTTCAGGTCTGTTCTTTCTCACTCCCTTGCTCGAAAGCCTAACTACCTATGGTAGCTTCCCACTCTATTTTTCTTGACCACTTCCACTCTCATTCTCATGCCATCGCCGTGTACACAGATGGATCTAAATCTTCTGACGGCGTTGGATTCGCAGCAGTGTTTCCGGACAGCGTCGTGCGGGGGTATTTACTATCTTCGGCTAGCATTTTTACTGCTGAATTGTATGCCATTCTTTCAGCACTTATTCGTATCGCATCTATGCCTGTGTCATCATTTGTGGTTGTTTCTGACTCCCTCAGTGCTCTTCAGGCTTTAAGGAAATTTGATACACCTCACCCCCTAGTTCTCCGTATCCAACTTTGGCTACGCCGTATCTCTACCAAGCATAAATATATTGTTTTTTGTTGGGTCCCTGGTCATGTTGACGTACAGGGCAATGAACAGGCAGACACTGCTGCACGGTCAGCAGTACATGACCTACCAATTTCATATAGGGGTGTTCCATTTCCGGACTATTTTGCTCTAATAGCTACCCACCTTCACACCCGTTGGCAACAACGTTGGTCTGCTCTGCTCAATAACAAACTTTGTTCTATTAAACCGAGTATGGGTTACTGGCCGTCTTCTTGTCACCAGTGTCGAGGTTGGGAGACTACTCTCTCCCGCCTTCGCATTGGCCATACTCGTCTTACTCATGGACATCTCATGGAGAGGCGCCCTGCTCCTCTCTGTGAGCATTGTCAGGTTCCATTATCGGTCAGCCATATTCTGTTAGACTGCCCCCTTTATCAACGAGCACGCAGAATTTACCTCCAACGTCGTCTCCGCTCTACTACTCTCTCTTTACCTTCCCTTCTCGCTGATGGACCACCTTTCATCCGGACTCTCTCATTGACTTTTTGACAACAACTGACTTACTCCACAAACACTGACGATACCTTTAGGCCTTTCTACCTCAATCTCTTGCTACCCTCTACCCCATGCCACTATCCCCTGCCCCACTGTTTTCTGTAACCTACTAATCATCCCTCCCTCCTTCTGCCGCCCAGTACCCTTGCTTCCTTCCCTACCCTGCAGCGCTGTATAGCCCTTGTGGCTTAGCGCTTCTTTTTGATTATAATAATAATATAAAACCATCAACACCCATGCTTCACTCCCACATAAGAGAGTTGGTATAACTATACTCTTATACATTCCCTCTTTGATTCCGTGGATAATGTTCTTTGTTTCCACAAACTCCTCAGTGCACCACTCACCTTTTTCCCCTCATCAGTTCTATGATTCACCTCGTCTTTCCTAGACCCATTTTCTGACAAGTCCATCACCAAATATCTGAATACATTCATTTCCTCCATACTCTCCCCCTCCAGTCTGATATGCAATCTTTCATTTCCCAGATTTTTTATCCTCATCACCTTGCTATTTCCTATTTTTGCTTTTAATTTCTTTCTTTTACACACCCTACCTAACTCGTCCACAAACCTCTGCAACTTCTCTTCAGAATCTCCCAAAAGCACAGTGTCATCAGCAAAATGATACTGTGACAAGTTCCACTTTGTGTTAGATTATTTTTCTTTTAATCCCATGCCTCTTGCCAATACCTGAGCATTCACTTCTCTTACGACCCCATGTATAAAAATATTGAATAACCATGGTGACACCTCACATCCTTATCTAAGGCCTACTTTTACTGGAAAAAATCTCCCTGTCTCCTACATACTCTCACGTGAACATATCTTCATAGAAACTCTTCACTACAGAGACAGTGCCAGGACTAAGATTCATATTAGAAAAGTTGTGTATTAGGGATGCTTCAACAAGACGGCGATTGTGAAAGGCTGAAGTAGGGTAGACAGTTTTAGCTGAGGACCAGTCAACAAGATGATTGTAATCTTTAATATGACAGAAAAGAGCATTTTTGGTGTCGGCAAGTCTAACACTACTCCTATGCTCTTTAAATCTGTCGGAAAAGTAGCAGCTAGTTTACTCAAAGTATTGAAGAATACCATAGAAGCAGTAAAATAGAGTAGACTCCGAAGGAATCAATAGATTATTGCAAAGGGTGTTAGTTTGACGATGTTGATGTTTAAGGAACGGAGAGAGTTGTTGAGATTAGAAAGACTGGAAATATAGGGAAAGCAGAGAACAGAGATTTCACAAGAGTAGACAGTTTAGGAGAGGAAAAAAATAAGTCTGATTAGCAAGAGATCAGGCAGAGTTTAAGAAATCCGAAGGGTAGCCAAGACGAGAGAATGAACTGCGAAGTAGTTTAAGTTTCTACGTATTCCCAACGTATTTGTGTCTGAAGGCACAAATACGTCAGGCACGGAGAATGACAGAAATAAGAACACGTTTTTGACACAGGGATCACGGTAAGAAAACAGTGAATGTACATGCCACTGTGGATAGGCTTGCGGCAAACGGAAAAGAATAGCTGTAGCCGAGCAATGAACATGCACATAAAGGAAAGGAAGCAATGAGTTAGATTCCCATTCAGTTTTAAACTTGATGGGAGGAGCGAGATTGTTAAAGGTATCGAGAAATGGCTGTGAGTGACTAGAGTCAATGGGCGAAAGAGAAAAGATGTTGATTACAGGAGGAAGGGCGCACACCAATAGTAGGAAGGAGAACAGTTCCGAAATATTCGATATAAAGATTAGCAAGAACAGGGTATTGAGGAGAGGTCATAGAGAGCTTGTACTTTTACTTACTTTACTTAATCTCCCCATCTCAAAAAATTACTGCTTTTCATTAATAAAATTAAATTTCTGCCCACCAATATACTTCGTTTACAACATCTTTTCCTGCACCTCGACGTATTTATGTTCTTTCTATTTATCTCCCCACTACTTACATCTTTTTCCTTCACAACCCAGTCCGTATCTTCCTAAGAACATATTAATAAATAAAGTTAAATATTCTGTGTATGAAATGTTGACAGGAACAATTAACAGACGTGCTACTCACCATTTCTTCCAGAGCTGAGTCATTCTCCACTGACTGGATGGATTGTCTAGATGTCACTTCCTTTAGTGACGGTAACACTTGACCCGCTGGTAATTCATCACTTAATACTTTCCTCATCTCTCTCACTTGTACGGAAGTGGCCAATAATTCACCAGTTACTAATAATTCATCAATTACTGATCGGTCTGTTGTATCTAAGTTTTCGTTGTCTGATTCGGCGGTAGAGGCCACGTCCTTGCTCTCTGATTCGGCGTAGAGGCCCACGTCCCTTGCTCTCTGATTCGGCGGTAGAGGCCACCTCCTTTCTTTCTGATTCGGCAGTAGTGACCATGTCTTCACTCTTCAAGCCTGCGATATTCACCACCTGTCGAAAAGCACCAGTGATCTTTATTCCAAATAAATAAAGAATCATATTTTTAGCGTGTTACAGATGTTATACATTCCTATAAATATATCATGGCTTATAGCTCAATTACAGCTTCTGTCTCACAACCGTAGGACTAGAGTTTTTGTAATGACGAGTCGAGACAATGGAAAACTCCCATGACACCTGTTACCCCTCTTCACCTAGCAGTGAATAGTTACGTGAATGTTAGCAGACTATTGTAGAACTAATTCTTAGTGGGTAGTATATACCATTGATAATGTAATTAATTAGGTTGTGAATGTTTTACGTTGATTATAAACACATTAATCAAAATATTAATGTAATAAAGCGCTCCTAATTTACTATTAGATTAGTAAATCTTATATTTTGTTTGTTCAAAATATATTTAATCCTGAATTCTCATAGTCAGTAAAAAGATATTTGAAGTTTTTGACTATACTTGATTTTAAAGTTGAAGGGAAATATTTTTAAATGCCTCTCCTATGAAAAATCGAAAGTCTAAAATTTTCTTGTCCAGGTAAAATAATATTTGTGTTAGTTACTTAACCGAGCTTTTAATTCATTGTTTCTTCTTTCATAAATAAATAATATTCTGTCAGACAACCCTGAAGTTCACAATGTTTAAAAAGTTAGCGTTTGGATTGTTACTGGATTGTTTAGCTCTGCTGGACTAACGTTTTCACAGATCTTTTTTTAACTTATTGCACTATTTTCCGACGAGGTGAATTACAGCAGCATAGAAGATGTGTTTTTTAGTAAGCTATACATTCCTACCTGCCCGAGGCAGCAGGGAGGCTAGCAATACATACATGAATTCCATATAGTCTTGCTAGATCTACTGTAAGTGGATCACAGTCGTGTGCAAGAATTTTTCAAGTATTGCCATCATGTAGGTAAAGATACGTGTTCATTAAGACAATTTCTTTACAGAAATGTGTCAATGAATATAAAAAAAAAAAGATAAACAGATTGAATAATAGAGATGTCACCACCTGCGTATTTTTAATGTAAAGACGTTTTGCCAACCAGAGAATAAGCGGTGAAAAACGTGAGAAGGTAACTTGAGGTGATCAGTACCTCATCCTTGAGAGATGTACCCGTCTTCAACTTTGATAAATATAACGCAGATGCACTTCCATGAAGATTTGTATACTGGAGACAGGTGAGTGAAGCATTTAGTAATAGAGTCATTGGTGTGTTGATCTCAGTAGAGAATGAAGGAGACAAACGTCAGAGTTGAAGAAGAATTCTTAGAACCAAGATTACAAAATGTTGCTGCGACAGACAAGTATTATTATAATAATGGAAAGAGGGCTAACAAGAATTTAAATATCGACTTATATGCAACACCTGGGTGTAATTATTCTGCAGAAGTTTCTCCAAGTAGTCACTCTATTATTTAGTATTTAGAATAATTAGTGAAAAAAAAACCCAAGAGATGATATAAAAGGTTCCAGTCCCCCAGATGTGAAAGCAAATCTAATGTTTTACATAACATGTTCTCATAATAAACATCCTCCAGTAGTCCCCGCCCACCAGTGTGGCTGTTTCCTCTGCTTCACTTTTCTTGTCTCTAGTATATGTCTATCCTTTTGCATCTGCTTTTGATTTATCGAGGCGCAGGGCTCAATATCTCCATTCAAACTGAGGAAATAATTACTTTAAAAATATCACATCTTGTCTTCTCATGTTAATTCACCCCTACGGACTGATAAAGCGCTGGTTGGTGATGTTCCGCAGTGAAGATGATCAAGTGTTGCTTACGTGTCAAATCGTTTACTTGTTTATTTTAAAAATTATCAAAATATAAATAATAAAATTCTAATGCAAATTTAACGCTTTCCTAACCATTGGGCATATCAACTACCACTAGTGAGCCCCCCCCCACTTGTCATACCATCATCAACTGCTTTACCTTTCCTGTAAGCCTCTGTAATAATGCTTCAGTGTTATATATATCAAGACTAACTGACTAAACACCTTCAATAACGCTAATATAATAATGCTACTGATTGACTAAACGTGATCACAATAAACAAATGTTCAACCAGTATTATATTTATCGACAGTTACATTGAAAGTATATCGTTACGGTCGGGTTTTTCAGTCCTAATTCAAATAAGCTAAAATTACCAATATGTACGATACAAGAGGTTAGTTGACCATAGATCAGAAGCTGGGTAAGATAATAGAGGTGGAATGGGCAGCCTTTGACCGAGGTGGAGTGGGAGGCTTCCCTGTGTAAATAAGAATTTTTTTTTTATATTTTATTTAAAATACAGTATACATTATACATGGAAGCAAACATGTCACTAAACCAATCAACATGGAACAACAAAATTAAAGTACAAGATACGTATACACAATCCAATACTGATGCACGCAGCATCAGTATGAGTATGACTGGAGACATCAGTATGCGTAAGACAGGCAGCATCAGTATGAGTAAGACAGGCAGGTTCTGTATGAGTAAGACAGGAGACATCAGTATGAGTAAGATATGCAGCATCAGTATGAGTAAAGGGAGGCAACATCAGCATAAGTAAAGCAAGCAGCGTCAGTAAGAGTAAGGCAGGCACCATCAGTATGATAAGGCAAGCAGCGTCAGTTCGAGTAAGGCAGGCAGCATCATTTTAAATAAGACAGGAAGCATCAACATGACTAAAACAGAAAGCATCACTATGAGCAAGGCAGGAGACATCAGTATGAGTAAGGCAGGCAGCATCACTATGAGTAAGACAGGCAGCATCAGCATGAGTAAGGCAAGAAACATCAGTATGAGCAAGGCAGGCATCATCAGTATGAGTAAGGCAGGCATCATCAGTATGAGTAAGGCAGGCAGCATCAGTATGAGTAAGGCAGGCAGCATCAGTATGAGTAAGGCAAGCAACGTCAGAATGAGTAAGGCAGGCAGCATCAGTACGAATAAGGCAGGGATCATCAGCATGAGTAAGGCATGCAGCATCAGTATGAGTAAGGGAAGCAGCATCAGTATGAGTAAGGCAGGCAGCATCAGTATGAGTAAGACAGGCATCATCAGTATGAGTAAGGCAGGCATCATCAGTATGAGTAAGGCAGGCATCATCAGTATGAGTAAGGCAGCATCATCAGTATGAGTAAGGCAGGCAGCATCACTATGAGTAAGACAGGCAGCATCAGTATGATAAGGCAAGAACATCAGTATGACAGGCAGGCATCATCAGTATGAGTAAGGCAGGCATCTCAGTATGAGTAAGGCAGGCAGCATCAGTATGAGTAAGGCAGGCAGCATCAGTATGAGTAAGGCAAGCAACGTCAGAATGAGTAAGGCAGGCAGCATCAGTACGAATAAGGCAGGGATCATCAGCATGAGTAAGGCATGCAGCATCAGTATGAGTAAGGGAAGCAGCATCAGTATGAGTAAGGCAGGCAGCATCAGTATGAGTAAGGCAGGCATCATCAGTATGAGTAAGGCAGGCATCATCAGTATGAGTAAGGCAGGCATCATCAGTATGAGTAAGGCAGGCATCATCAGTATGAGTAAGGCAGGCAGCATCAGTATGAGTAAGGGAAGCAGCATCAGTACGAGTAAGGCAGGCATCGTCAGTATGAGTAAGGCAGGCATCATCAGTATGAGTAAGGCAGGCAGCATCAGTATGAGTAAGGGAAGCAGCATCAGTATGAGTAAGGCAGGCCGCATCAGTATGAGTAAGGCAAGTAACCTCAGTATGAGTAAGGCAGGCAGCATTAGTACGAGTAAGGCAGGCATCATCAGCAGAGTAAGGCAGGCAGCATCAGTATGAGTAAGGCAGGCAGCATCAGTATGAGTAAGGCAAGTAACCTCAGTATGAGTAAGGCAAGCAACATCAGTACGAGTAAGGCAGGCAGCATCCGTATGAGTAAGGCAGGCAGCATCAGTATGAGCAAGGCAGGCATTATCAGTATGAGTAAGGCAGGGAGTGTCAGTATGAGCAAGGCAAGCAACCTCAGTATGAGTAAGGCAAGCAACATCAGCCTGAGTAAGACAGGCAGCATCAGCATGAGTAAGGGAAGCAGCATCAGCATGAGTAAGACAGGCAGCATCAGTATAAGTGAGAGAAGCAGCATCAGTATGAGTAAGGCAGGCAGCATCAGTATGAGTAAGGCAAGCAACGTCAGTATGAGTAAGGTAGGCATCATCAGCATGAGTAAGGCAGGCATCATCAGTATGAATAAGGCAGGCAGCATCAGTATGAGTAAGGTAAGCAGCATCAGTACGAGTAAGGCAGGCATCATCGGTATGAGTAAGGCAGGCATCATCAGTATGAATAATGCAGGCAGCATCAGTATGAGTAAGGGAAGCAGCATCAGTACGAGTAAGGCAGGCATTATCAGTATGAGTAAGGCAGGCATCATCAGTATGAATAAGGCAGGCAGCATCAGTATGAGTAAAGGAAGCAGCATCAGTACGAGTAAGGCAGGCATTGTCACTATGAGTAAGGCAGTCATCATCAGTATGAGTAAGGCAGGCATCATCAGTATAAGTAAGGCAGGCAGCATCAGTATGAGTAAGGCAGGCAGCATCAGTATGAGTAAGGCAAGCAACGTCAGTATGAGTAAGGCAGGCAGCATCAGTACGAGTAAGCCAGGCATCATCAGCATGAGTAAGGCAGGTAGCATCAGTATGAGTAAGGCAGGCAGCATCAGTATGAGTAAGGCAAGCAACCTCAGTATGAGTAAGGCAAGCAACATCAGTACGAGTAAGGCAGGCAGCATCAGTATGAGTAAGGCAGTCAGCATCAGTATGAGTAAGGCAGGCATTATCAGTATGAGTAAGGCAGGGAGTGTCAGTATGAGTAATTCAGGCAGCACCAGTATGAGCAAGGCAAGCAACCTCAGT